CAGGCTGACCTTGAACTCACAGAGATCTGCCTGCCTCTGCCTCCCGAGTGCTGGGATTAAAGGTGTGCACCACCATGCCCAGCCAAGTTTTTGTAAAAATTTTTTAAAAATGAAAAATAAAAATTAAACAAACCAAAAATTAAAAAAGGAAATAAATGGGACAAAGATAACAAGGGCTATTGAAAAAGTCCACAGAAGACATCTCCAAGTGCATCTTATATTATATAGCCTTGAGCAAAAATTCAAAATAAAATTATAAGACAAAGTCTAAAATTAAAAATAAACTGAAACAAAAACCTAGTTATATATAAAATTGTCAATTAGAACTACAGAAACACAAACAAAAATTTATTTGAAATGACCCTAGAACACAGTAGTTTGATGATAGATCCTTAGAGTATTTAAGGACAAAATCAAGTTTATTCATTATTTTATTAGTAGAATAATGTGTATTATTTTGTGCAAATTGTTGTGTATGTATTGGACTAAACATATAAGTGATTATATTAATGTCATTAAGGAGCCTAATTTTTCAGCATAAGAATAAAGACTTGGGGGCTGGAGACATGGCTCAGTGGTTAAGAACACTTGCTGTTCTTCCAGAAGACCCAAGTTCAATTCCCAACACCCACATGGCAGCTAACAACTGTCCATAACTCCAGTTCCAGGGGATCTGAAGCCTGCTTCTGGCCTCTACAGCCTTTGCACAACATGTGTGCACTTACACACATGCAGGCAATACACTCATATACATAAAATAAAAATAATAAATAAAAATTTTTAAAAAGAATAAACACCTGTAAGTATAAAGAGCTCAGTGAAAAATCATAATTATGTTGGAGTTTGTAGATGTGTGTGTGCATGCGTGTGTGCAGGTGTCTTAATATTCTAGCTCTTTTCATTGAAAGGTCTGGGAACAGCGTTTCCTCAGTAGCTGGTATCACCCCTCACATCCATCTTCTGGTGCCTAAAATTAGTCCTTACTAAAAGCTGCCACATCTCTTTAGACGAATAACTACTTCCTGCAGGGGAAATTTAAAAAGATAAACCTTGGGGCTGGAGAGATGACTAAATGGTTGAGAGCACTGGCTGGTCTTGCAGAGGACCTGGGTTTGGTTCCCAGCACTCCCATGGTGGCTAACAACCATCTGTAACTTCAGTTCCAGGGGATCTGATGCCTTCTTCTGACCTCCCCAGGAACTTCACAACATGGATGCACTTAACGTACATGCAGGCAATACACTCATACACATAAAAACAAAAAGCAAAATATTTTTTAAAAAGTTAAATCTAGAACACCTTAGAGTGAAAAAAAACAAGGGAGATTTCATTGGAGTCTGTTTTCATGAACCTTTTACTGGCTTATTCTGGTATAATGAGTATCAAAAAGTAATTACTGTGACTGATTGATGTACATTGGCTATATAAATAGTAATACTTAAAAATTGGGCCTGGAGAGATGGGTCAGCGGTTAAGAACACTGGTTGTGGGGCTGGAGAGATAGCTCAGTAGTTAAGAACATTTGCTGTTCTTGCAGAAGACCCGGGTTCTAATCCCAGCACCGACATGGCAGCTAACAACTGTCCGTAACTCCAGTTCCAAGGGATCCAACAGCTTCTTCTGTCCTCCGCGGGCATTGCACGACATGGGCGCACTTACCTGCATGCAGGCAATACACGCATACACGTAAAATAAAAATAATAAATAAATAATTTTTTTAAAGTTTTTTAAAAAATAGTAATACTTAAAAATTGTCACAAATAATTTTAAAAGCTTATTAGCCACTATTAGAGGTAAATATTACAATTACTCACTAGTCTGCAAGTAGGTAAAAAGCAAAAACTAAGAATATATTCTATATTTCCAGTTGCATTGTATTTCAGGTTAATGACTGAAAGCTGATAAATTTTCAATGAATAGTTAAAAAAAAAAAGCCAGGTGTGGTGGCACACGCCTTTAATCCCAGCACTCGGGAGGCAGAGGCAGGTGGATCTCTGTGAGTTCAAGGCCAGCCTGGTCTACATAGTGAGTTCCAGGACAGCTGGGGAGACCCTGTCTCAAAAAGACCGAAAAAAAAAGGAAAAATAAAAATAAAAAACAAACAAAAACAAAAACAAAACTCTTACTGCAAACTCCAATGAAGTATTTTTGTGAAGAATCACCAGTGAAGAGTGGAGAAGTAGCTCAGTGGTAGAGCACTTGCCTGGCATGTCAGAGGTCCTGAGTTCTCTCCTCAGCACACACAGAAGAAAAGGAAGAGGAAAAGGAGGAGGAGGGGAGATGAGGAGGAAAAGGAGAAGGATGATCAAACTATATGAAAAAGTTGATGGTTGATAGGGAAGTTAATGTTCTCATGGTGCCAAAGTATCAGGTTTCATTCTGATCACATTAATAGCAATCTGGCTGGTTCTACTTTAACCTGCATATGATTAGCATTCCTGTGTATGCATGATGGCAGGTATCATACATCTCCTAGAAGGATGCAATTGAAAGCATTTTGGTTTACATTTTAAAAAAATATGATCCAATTGAGACTTCAGGTATAATTTCTACTTTACAAGAAGGAAATACAGGGGACATATATATGATATACAAGGTAATACAGGACAATACACCATGAGACAAATCATAAAGATGGGGAGTTCCATGTAAAAGTGACCTGCTCTCTCTTAACAGAACAATATGAAAAATGGAAAGGGTGTGAATCAGTATTTATGCTAATTTAAAGAGAATTAAGAAACATAATTAAATGTAATTCAATGGTGATCCTTGATTGATTCCTATTTTGAACAGAACAGCTGAAAGAGACATCTTTGGAAACAATCTGGGATGTTTGAATGTGAATTGAGCACTCAGTGATATTGTGGAAAGTGTTTTTGTTTCCTAGAGATGTACACTGAAATATTTATGAGAAATATCATAATGTGTATCACTTCTGTTCAATATTTTAAAAGAAGCAAACATCAAAGTATCAGTAGTGGTGAAGTCTAAATGATAAGTGTTTTCTTTACACCATTTTGTCTTTTTAGAATCAATTTAAAAAAACTTTATCTTCTCGTGGCTGGAGAGGCCACTCAGATATTCAGAGCACTGGCTGCTTTTGCAGAGGACTGGAGTTTGATTCTCAGCACCCACATGGCAGCTCACAGACATCTTTAAATCCAGCTCTAGGGGATCGGATGTCCTCTTCTGGTCTCTGCTGGCACCAGGTATATATGTGGTGCATACACATACGTGCAGGCAAAACACTCATACACATAAAATATTTTAAACTTTATGTTATTATTAATATTAATAATAGTTATTATGTGTGTGCATGTGTGTGTGATGGGAGAGTTTGTGCCATGGCCCTTGCATAGAGGTCAGAGAACAGCTTCGTAGAGTCACTTCTCTCCTTTCATCTCTACATGGTATGGATTCCAGGGACTGAACTCAGGTCATTGGGCTTGGGCAGCAGGTGCATTTAACTACTGAGCAATCTCTGCTGTCTGTCCCATGTTGTCTTTTTTATAAACTGGAAGGCAAAAAAAGTAAAGTGATCAAATTTGACCTTTAGAAAGCTCACTCCATTGCTTATTGGGTAAATAAGAGTGGAGGTAAAGGAGGACTGGAGAGATGGCTCAGTGGTTATGAACACTGGCTGTTCTTGCAGAAGACCCAGGTTTGAATCTCAGCACCCACATGGCAGCTAACAACTGTCCATAACTCCAGTTCCAGGGGATCCAGCAGCCTCTTCTGTCCTCCACAGGCATTGCATGACATGGGTGCACTTACCTACATGCAAGCAATGATTGCATACACACAAAATAAAAATAATAAATGAAATATTCAAAATATTTTTTTAAAAGAGTGAAGGTGCCGGGCGGGGGTGGTGCACGCCTTTAATCCCAGCACTCGGGAGGCAGAGGCAGGCAGATCTCTGTGAGTTCAAGGCCAGCCTGGTCTACATAATGAGTTCCAGGACAGCTGGGGCTATTGAGAGACCCTGTCAAAAAAAAAAAAAAAAAAAAAAGAGTGAAGGCAAAGGACCAGGGAAGTGATGAATGCTATGGTCAGAGCAAGCTGTCTACTCAGGGCAATCAGGGTGGAGAGAAGTGGGCTCATGTGACATATATGGTACAATAGAAACCATCAGATTGTTGATGGGCTTGAGACAGGTGAGGCCAAGGGAGAGTCAAAGCTAATGACACATTAGTACAGACAGGGGTGCAGTTGAGGAACAGGAACAGCTTCTGATATTCTCTAGCACAGTAGAATAACTATAGGTTAATGAATCAAATATTTCAAACTAACAAGTACAGAGGATTGAGTGTTCTAAGGTAATAGATAAGCCAGTTACCTGAATCTGATCATTACACATCAAACCCATTTATGTAACCTGTACTGAACAGTCACACTCTACCAGGTAAATATGCACAATTACTATATATAAATTAAAAGCGAATAAATGCTATAGAAAGAAAAAAGTCCAATCTTGCAATCCACAATAAATAAATGAGTGGATTGCAAGAGGAAAAGAAGTGTATACCAAGTGTTTGCTTTTGGTTGTTACCTCAAGGTTATTCAGGTACTCATGCCTAACCATCCTGGTCTCCATGATGACGCCAGGAGCATTTCTAGGACGCCTTAAGAGTTCCTATTCTAGTCCTTCACGCTTCTCATATTAGGGTTTACGTTCCCTGGCTCACGTATCTTTCTCGTCTCCCGTGGAACCTGAATCCTTTTTGCTAACCCTGGGCCAAGAGCAGAGGCGGTGGAATTGAAGAGGAGTTATAGGTCAGGAGAGGGTGGACCCCGTGGGAACTCTAGTGAGGAACCCACCACATGGTGGAGGAGGAATAGGTTGAGTAGGTCCGGGGCTAGGAGACGACTCTTACGCCAGTATGACGCAAATAGGCGTAAGAGCCGGGGGTGGAAATGTCGTCACCCCTCGACTGCGGTTGGCCGAGTCTTCTGAAGAGGGGCAAGTAGACCCGCCTTCGAAGTGGGTGGGGAGTGGCAGGCTCCGCCTAGGTTCTTCGGCAGACTCCCGCCAGCGTCGCTGAGACTCTGGCGGAGGAGCAAGCGCACCGAGCTGGGAAGGATGAGGCGCCCGCGGCGGCCTGGGGGTCCGGGGGGCTCCGGGGGCCTCCGGCTGCTGATCTGCCTGCTGCTGCTGAGTGGCCGCCCCGGGGGCTGCAGCGCCACCAGTGCACACGGTCAGGAGGAAACTTGAGGGGAGGGGGGCAGCAGGGGATGGGAGCAAAACTCAGGGCTTGGGCGGTGGGGAGAAGCGTTGCGAAGGTAAGAAGCTCCGGTAGAATATGTGCAGAGTGGAGATGCAGGATGAGGAAGATGAAAGGAGATGGAGATGGAGATGAAAATGAGGGTGGCTGGGAAGAAAGGGGCGTTGGCCCGGAGGTGGAGCTGGGATGAGCGGGCGGGACCTAAGAGAAGTGGGCTCCGGGGAAGAGGGGGCTCGCGCGAGCAGAGGGGTATAGAGGAACTACAGGACCGCGGGAGAAGCAAGAGGTGCAGAGGTGGTGACCCGAGTTGAAGACTGGGATGGGGAGGGACAGGGAGGGAGGAAGAGCGAGAGACGACCACCCGGCCAGAGGAGCCCCGACCGCAGTCATGGGGTTCCAGCTTCCAAGGAGGACTGGCCCGAGCCGAGGGCCCGTTTGCTATGACGTGATCTAGTTTAAGAAGGGGGCAAGTGGGGGAAGGAGCGGAAGAGGACGAAAAGGGGAGGGTCTTCTCCTGTCCCCCTCCCCAAGCCAGGCCTGGTGCTGACTCACATCTGAGAGGACAAGAGTCAGCGCTGACTCACGGGGCTCGGGATGGAGGTGGGAGGGTGGCGTGTGGGGGAAGGGGCGCAGCCTTTCCATCTGGCGCCTTCCTTACCCACCCTGGCTTGGAGGTCAATGCACAGTACTTCCTGTGAGGCTATGGGTTACAAAATGGAGAGGAGAAAGTCAGGTCCTGTGGCCACTCCTAGAGCTGTCACCCCTTGCTCTCTAACAGTCTCCTGTCATACCCTTGGCCCCCTTCAGGCTCATAGCTTCAGCACCACGAACAGCGCCAGCAGCTCAGGTCTAGGACACTCACTGAGTGGGGGAGGTGTGCTAGAGTTTCCGCCTCTTTTGAGTTCCAGGCGGCTATAGTCAGGATGCTTTGGAAAATTTGGGAAACTACCGTGTCCTTTTAAATTAGCCAAAAGTTCTCCCACAGGAATTCTACAAGACCTCCACTCCTCTTCCCCCATGCTTCTGAAGTTGTTCTCAACTCTCATTTAAGCAAATTAAGTCTTTTAAGGATCGAAACTAAGGTCTTTAAAATCCAAAGCTAGATCCCACGCTTCCCTCTTTTACGAATTCTAGCCTTGGGGCTGTAGAGACGGCTCAGTTTGTAGAGTGCTTGCCATGTAAGCTTGACAACTTAAGTTCAGATACCCAGCACCTATGTAAAAAGCCATGCAGAGGAACTGATGTCTAATCCGAGCACTGGGGAGGTAGAGACTTGTATATCTCCAGAATATGCTGAGTGAGCACCAGGTTCAGTGAGAGACCTGTCTCAGATATGTAAAGTGGACAGGACAGCAACTGAGAAAGATGCCCAACATTGACCTCTGGCCTCCATACACATGCACACATACAAACATGTATGCATACATACACCAGAGAAGGGGGAGAGAGAGAGCGAGAGAGAGAGAGAGAGAGAGAGAGAGAGAGAGGTAGAGAGAGAGAGACTGTGGCTCTCTCTCTACATACACATGCACACATACAAACATGTATGCATACATACACCAGAGAAAGAGAGAGAGAGAGAGAGAGAGAGAGAGAGAGAGAGAGAGAGGATCTAGGTCTCTCTCCTATTGTCCTCCCAGCTTCCAGTCGTCCTTAGATTGAACAACTGGGCCTCATTTGCCCCCACCCCCTGTGTCCCAGCTATCTGGCCATTCTGTGTGTGTCTGAGTCTCTACTCTTCTACAGGCTGTCTGTTTGACCGCAGACTCTGCTCCCACCTGGAAGTCTGTATTCAGGGTGAGTAGGACTCTGGCATAGAATTCAAAGGATGGAGAGATCCCCAGGGGGGTGGGGGAGCCCATCTGGGGCTGTGAGAAGGAGCAGAGGAACAGAGCTCTAAATTGAGTGGAGGAGGTGAAGAATTGTTCATTTGACCTGGACTTTGGGAGGCCTCATGCAAAGGTGCTGGTAATGCCACTTTTGTTCTTTTAGATGGCTTGTTTGGACAATGCCAGGCAGGAGTGGGGCAGGTACGGCCCCTTTTGCAAGTCACTTCTCCAGTTCTCCAACGCTTACAAGGTGTGCTACGACAGCTCATGTCCCAAGGTGAGGTCTGGGTACACTGGAGAAAAGAGATTGGAACTTGGTTAGATATGGGGGAAGTAAGAGGTCACCTGATCCAAAACTTTCTCCATGTAACTTTATTATCATACCCACTTACAAAGTCTCGACCTCCCAGATCTTGCTGGATAAGAAGGCAAGACAAGCCAGTCTTGGTGGTGCACACCTTTAATCCCAGCACTTGGGAGGCAGAGGCATGTGGATCTCTGTGAGTTAAAGGCCAGCCTGGTCTACATAGTGAGTTCCAGGACAGCTGGGGCTACAGGGAGATCCTGTGTCAAAAAGATCAAAAAAAAGAAGGCAAGACAAAAGTAGTGATAGGACCCTAGAGATTGGTGACTCCACCTGAATTGTCTGGAGTTGTCCATGGGAGGCCTATAGCTAAAGTTGCTGGAAGTAGCCTTCTGTTTAGGTCAAGTCCCACTCCCTGACACTGTTTTAGAGGTATGAATTCTGAGGTCCTTGGACAGGGAAGCACCTTACTCATCTAATTCACTCATTTAACAAATATTTAGTTAGTACTTACTATGTGGCATGGTGTTTGGGATGTATCAAGGAATAAAGCAAAGAGCTCTATTTTCTGGGGTTTATCTTTGGAGGACACAAGGAGAAAATGCATGATGCAAACTGTAAAATATACAGTATGGCCAGGTGTGGTGGCACGCACCTTTAGTTCCAGCACTTGGGAGGTAGAGGTAGGTGGATCTCTGTGAGACTGAAGCCAGCCTGGTCTACATAGCAAGTGCCAGGCCAGCTGGGGCTATAGGGAGACCCTGTCTCAAAACGACAAAAAAAAATTACATATACAATATGTTACAAAGCAGTGAGTGTTGGGGTTAGAGAGACGGCTCAGTGGTTAAGAGCACTGGCTGTTCTTTAAGAAGACCCAGGATCAAATCTCAGGACCCACATGGCAGCTAACAATGGTCTATAACTCCAGTACCAGGGAATCTGATGTCCCCTTCTGACCTCCATGGGCACTGCATGACACAGGTGCACTTACATATACCCAGGCAATACTCATAAAACAAAGTGCAGTTGACTATGACAGCAGAATTAAAGAAGCAGAAGTGATGAAGCAGTGTTGAATTAGGTGTTAAAGGTAGACTTTATTGAAGTGATGTTGTTCAAGCAGACTTTGAGAAGCTGACAGGGCATGTCCAGAAATGTTTTAGGAAGACCACTCAAGATAGGACCACATGTTTGGGCAACATGATGGAGGCCAATGACTGGAGAGGAAAGTAGAAGATGGAGGTGGGTAGGTAATAAAGGAAGAGATGAATATCTTTATAAGGACTTAGAAAAGGGTGTATGGACATTGCCTTTACTAAGAGCAGCCGAAGAAACCATTACAAGGCTTCGACCATAGGACTGGTGCTCTAGCTTCTACTTTGAAAGGATCTCTCTTGCTGTGTATTGAGAATGCATAGATTGTGAAGAGTTCAGGGTTAAAGTAGGGAGTTCATTCCCAGGTACTACAATAGTAAGGTGTAAGAGTAGATTGGACCAGAGTGATGATTTCATATCATTCTGGATATGAAATATGATGTACTAGATATAGCTATAAAAAGCGGAATAAAAATTGGCTCTGAGGCCAGGCATGGGGGTAAGATTAACAGCTTTAGTCCCAGCACCTGGAGGCAGAGTCAAACAGAGCTCTGTGAGTTTGAGGCCAGCCCAGTCTACTTAGTGATTTCCAGGCTAACCAGGGCTGCATAGTGAGACCTTGTCCAAAAAAATGATAGTAAAACCCAAGTTTCATTTTCTGAACAGCAGAGTCAGTGGAAATATCACTTGTTATGATGGGAAACATTGCAGAAGAGCCAACTCTGATGCAGGCTAGAGGGTGTTGAGTTTTCAATATATGGAGTTTAAAGATGTCTGTTCAAGTAAAGAGGGATGTTGAGGGTGTATGATTAGACTGAGAGGGAGAAGAGGGGAAGGAGGAAGGGAAGGAGGAAGAGAAAGGAAGGAGAGTAGAGTAATTTGAGGATTATTTGGCATATAGATAGTAGTTAGAATCCATATGTTAGATGAGGTAACTGGAAAAAGTGAAATTATATTAAGAAGATGAGGGCTCAGTAATTTAGAACATGTACTACCCTTGCAGAAGACTGGAGTTTTGTTCCAAGTACCCATGTTGGGTGCCTCACAACTACCTGTAACTCCAGTTCCAGGGGGATCCAATGTCTCTGGACTCCTGGAGCACCTGAAATCATGTGCACATACCCATACACAGACACAAAAATATACATAATTAAAAATAAAAAGGTTTTAAGAGAAGAGGACCAAGGATCAAGCCCTAGAGAATTCTAGTATTAAGCCAAGGATTGAGCCCTCAAGAATTCTCATAGTAAGAGACCTGGAGAAGAAGAGGATGCAACCAAAGATACTAAGAAGGGGAATCCAGGGAGTAGGAGGAAGAGAAGAGTGTTCAGTGTCCTAGGAGCTGAATGAAACTTCTGTGTAAGTTGTGAGGAGTTTGCTGCAAAGAAATGGAGTGACAACAGAAGGAGAATATTGGGCAAAATAATTTTACTTTAGATGGAAGAAATTGCATTGTGTTTTTGTGCTAATGGGAGTAATTTGGTAGAGACAAGAGGAGACAAGGTAGGAAACAGGAGAGAACTGCAGGATAATGCTCCTGAGTCTTTAAGAACGGATGAAGCCTAGTGTTCAAGTGGAAGCATTAGTGGACTGTAAACAGGAACACAGATAGCTCTTCTAATGCTAACAGACAAAAAGGCATGGTATTCCACGTTGGTAAATCCCAGGATGTGAGTTGTTAGCATCCCAGATTATAAATCCAGAGCTGAAGCAGGAAGATCACCATGAGTCCCAGGCCAGCCTGTGCTACGTAGTGAGACCCTGTCTCTAAATAAATAAATCCAGAAAAGGAAGAATGGAGAAGAGTGAAAGACTATTTCTCCAGAATGAGTGAGCCACCTTCTCTGAGAGCAGGGCTTCATGGGTAAAGAATCAAACAGAAGACCTACCTCAGGATAAGATGATGCTGACAAGGTGGCATGGTGATGAGGCCAACCACCGTGAGGGTGAGACAGCAGTATAAAACAGGTGTACGGTGTTCTAGACTTTTCTAAGCATTTTCATTTTCTTGACCATACTTTATTTTTGCAACCACCCATGAAATATGCATGGTTCCCACTTTACAAAAAGCTGAGGCTCAGAATTAATAAAAATGGTGATAATAGTGGCAACAGCATTTGTACAGCATTTGTTAAGAGTTCATCACGGGCGGATTCTACTCTCCTTGATGTGTTACTTTAATTAGCACAACAGTCTTTGGAGAGGTATATCTCCATTTTACAGATGAGAGAATTGAGATTCAGAGAATTGCGATGAGGGGATGGAAGCTCAACTTATTCAAGGTCTCTTAGTTCATCAAGAACCAAAGCTGGGGGCTGGGCATGATGGTGCAAGCCTTTAATCCCAGCACTCAGGAGGCAGAGGCAGGCAGATCTTCCTGAGATCAAGACCAGCTGGAGTTACAGGGAGACCTTGTCTCAAAAACAAAGCAAAGCAAAACAAAACAAAACAAAATAAAAAGTTGTACATGAGGGCAGGGAAGAGTCAGCTTAGATCACCCATTGTGTCTCTTGCCCCATTCACTGATCCTGCTCTGCCAAACCCAACACACTGCATTCCTGACCTCCATGGACTCTGTCACTGGGCTCCCAGGCTCAAGGCAATTTCTCCCTATCCTTTCTTCTAACAGGACTATCCTGGCACGATGACCTCACCCAGTATGTGATCTCCCAGGAGATGGAGCGCATCCCCAGGCTTCGTTCCCCAGAGCCCCGTCCAAGGGACAGGTAATCAGCCTTTCTCAACAACCTCAGAGGGCTGAGGCTGGTGTGCTTTGGTCCTCCTGATAGGTCAAGGGTGGGAGGGGTTTGGAAGGGAGGCACCAAGGTCAGCAGACTGGGCCACAGGGAAAAACAAGATCAAGAATGGTTACTCTGGGGCTAGAGAGGTAGCTAACCTGTTAAGAACACTGACTGCTCTTGCAGAGGACCCAGGTTCAGTTCCCAGTACCTACATGGTGGCTAACAACTGTCTGTAACTCCAGTTCCAGGGAATACGACACCCTCTTCTGGTGTCTGTGGGCATTGCATGCATATAGTGCACTTATATACATGCAGGCAAAACACTCATATACATGTTTAAAAAAAAAAAAAGAATGGCCACTCAGGCATGTTTATAAGTCCAGTAGGAGCTGAGTTCATCCTGGGGATCCAACAAAACAGAATAATGAATATATACTTTGAAAACGTTGGCATTTGATATTTTAAAGGAAGTATTAGTTATCATAGACGAATAGAATTTTCTTGGACCAAAGTTGTTGCATGTTTAGTTTTATTACTGTGTGGAATTACATATGGCAGATGTGTACATTGTATTAGGGCCTCTAAAAGCAGTGCTCAGACAAAGGAAAGGAGTGTGGAGCTCAGAAAGTGACACCTAGACAAAGAAGGCCTAATGGGGATGGGGCAGAGCAGCCTTGGTTGTTTGAACATATGCTTAGAGAACCAGAGTGGAAGGGCATGGCACACAAAGACCACAGTAGCACCCTGCAGCCACAGCCCATCTCATCAGGCCCCAGCTGCTTTCCCCGCTCCCATTCTCCTCTTAACCATCCTTATCCTTGAGCTTCTCTCACCTGTGCAGCTGTGATTCAAAGACATATACCTAATGGCTGGGGATGTAGGTCAGTGGTAGAATGCTTGCTTGCACACACAAGGTCTTGGGTTTGATCCCTAGCTCTACACACACACACACACACACACACACACACACACACACACGAGTTTCTCCTACCAAAGATAGATATGCTCACCAAGGATGGAGACACCCTGGTCCAGGCTTGGCTCTCCATGCCCTCTGGCCCATCTTGCCTCCCCTCAGGAGGCCACTTCATTTCTTGAGAGAGATGAGCTATTCCAAACTGCCAAATTTGTCTGACTTCTATCACTTCTGCCTTGTCAGCTGTATGCCTTGCCCCATGCCCCACACAAACATACAAATTCTCTCTCTCTCTCTCTCTCTCTCTCTCTCTCTCTCTCTCTCCCTTTCCTATCCAGATCTGGTTTGGTGCCCAGGAAACTTGGTCCTGCTGGAGAGCTAATTTTACAGGGCATCCCCACTGGCTCTGCCCCTGCTGCCCAAGGGCTTCCCCGACCTCCAGTGGGTGGGAGTGGAGCTGGGGCAGGCTCCTCCCTGTCCCCTCTGCAGGCTGAGCTGCTGCCCTCTCTCTTGGAGCATCTGCTGCTGCCCCCACAGCCTCCCCACCCTGCCCTGAGTTATGAACCTGCATTGCTGCAACCCTACCTGTTCCACCAGGTGAGCCCTCGACTCTGGCCATGCCTCAACCCCAATGCCCTCTCCTGACTTCTGCTCTTACCCAGGTCTCTGATTTCCCACAGTTTGGCTCCCGTGATGGTTCCAGGAGCTCAGACAGTTCCCCAGGGGTGGCCAGTGTTGGCCCCCTGCCCAAGGCTGAAGCCCCTGCCCTCTACAGCAGAACTGCCTCCAAGGCCGTGTTTGGGGCCCGCTCTGGCCACTCCTATGGGGACCTTCCAGGCCCCTCACCTGCTCAGCTTTTCCAGGATGCAGGATTGCTCTACCTGGCCCAAGAGTTGCCAGGGCCCAGCAGGGCCAGGGTGCCAAGGCTGCCAGAGCAAGGGGGCAGCAGCCGGGCAGAGGACTCCTCAGAGGGCTATGAGGAAGGACTAAGGGGTCATGGGGAGCAGTCCCCTTCCCAAGCCATGCAACCAGGTAACACAGTCTTCAGTATCCACTTTCCTGATTTGGGGGCTCCTTCCTGTTTGTTTAGTAAGATTAGGTCTTGTTGTTACCCTAGGTTAACCTTGAACTCACTATTTAGCCCAGGTTAGCCTAGAACTTGCTGCAATTCTCTTGCCTCAGACTCCTAAGTACTGGGATTACAGGCATACACCATCACAGTCAGCTTTCATTCCCACATTTACTTGTCTACTGACAAGCTGATCTATGTAGGCACCAACATAGGTATGGCAACAGTGGGGTGTGAACCTGGCATGCCTCAAGTGTGTTCAAGTTCTGGGAAGGGGGAAGATATCATGTCCTAGTATTTGAAAATAATTTTTAAATGTGCTTGTCCCTACCCCCAATCACCCATCCTATCAGTTTATTCCATCATGTAGCCTAAACTCTATGTCGGACTCCCAGCAGATACAAATCTACAGAAACTGGCTGCAGTGCTAGCAGGCTATGGGGTAGAGTTGCGGCAGCTGACTCCTGAGCAGCTCTCCACCCTCTTGACCCTGCTACAGTTACTGCCCAAGGGCACAGGAAGAAATCTTGGTGAGTGTTCTACAGGGAGGCCAAGTCCCAGCTCCATAGAGACCCATCACTGAATTTCCCGAGGCTACATGGAGTAACCTGGGGGGTCAAGGGAAGAGTTTTGGGTTTTGTTTTTTCTTGAAGCAGGTTCTTGCTATAGCCCAGGCTGATCCTCCTGCCTCTGCCTCCAGAGTGTGGAAATTATAGGCATGCTCTACCAAGCCTGGCTAGAAAGAGAGTTCTTTGGAGAAATAGGGTCATTACCAACAAACCTCAGGGAACAAAGGAGGAAGGTAGGAGTTAAGACTAGAGGGTAGGAATGAAGGGGATGTAGCTCAGTGATAAAGATATGTTTAGCTTGGGCAAGGCCTTAGGTTCAATCTCAAAGAAGAGAAGGAAGAGAAGGAAAGGGTGGAGGAGGAGTTAGAGAAGGAGAAAAAGGAGGAGTTGGAGGAGGAATTGGAGGAAGAGGAGGAGGAGGAAGAAGAGGAGGAGGAAGAGAAGAAAGAGGAGGAGGAGGAAGAGGAGGACAGTACTATTGGAGATTCAAGGAGGATTGTGGCCAGTATGAAGGAAAAACCAATAATTAATGGGTCAGGGAAGGACCCAACAAAGAACAGCTTTGAGAGCTTTGACTAGTGACACAGAAAGGAATTAATAAGAACAATGGCATATAGGGCAGAAGCAGAGAGGAATGAGACCTGCTTGGAATGGGACTGTGGGCAGGAAAGAGGTCACAGCAGATGGAACAGGCTGGGGAGTTCTAGCCCTTTCTGACCTGTTATGTGGACCTTGGCCTTAACACCATTTCCCTAGACTCTTGCTTTTCCTTTCTCCACAGGAGGGGATGTAAATGTTGGAGCTGATGTCAAGAAAGTGAGTTCCCAGCACCTTCCGTACAAATATCCCTTTGCTGAAACCTAAATCTTAGGGTCTTGGTTCAGAATCTATCCTCTTGTCCCTTTTTTTTTTCTTTTTTTTTTAGACAGGGTCTCCTTGTAGCCCCAGCTGTCCTGGAACTCACTACGTAGACCAGGCTGGACTCGAACTCACAAAGATCCCCCTGCCTCTGCCTCCTGAGTGCTGGGATTAAAGGTGTGCGCCACCACGCCCAGCCCAGTCCATCATTTAAAAAAAATTTTTTTTTACTTATTTTTACTTTATGTGTATGAGTGTATTGCCTGCATGTATGTGAGTGTACCCATGTCATGCAAGGAAACTAAAGTTCAGAGACTTTAAATCACTGCCTATGGTTTTACTTCAAGTTGATGGGACTAGAAACCAGGATTCATTCATTCTCTCTCTCTCTCTCTCTCTCTCTCTCTCTCTCTCGATTTTATTTTTATTTATGTGTGGATGTGTGTCTGTGGGTGTGGATATGGGTGGTTTGAGTGCCTGTGGAGGCCAGAAGAGGACATCAGGTCCCTTGGAGCTGGAGTTACAGGTGGTTGTGAGTCGCCCCACATGGGTACTGGGAACTGAACTCTGGTCCTCTGCACAAGCAGTATACACTTAACCACTGAACCATCTTCTAATCCCTAGAAGCCTAAATTCTTGACCCACTGCTCTTTTTGCCACAATCCTTTCAGACTATGCTCTAAGGATTCCTACAGCAAGGACTTTGATGGCAGGCAGGCTCCATCCCTCTGTGGCTAGACAAGCTTTGCTTCTGTTTTAGGTGTTGGACTTCTAATATGTTTGCACTGATTAAAAGTCTTAAAACCATTACATTCCTGTTCATCTTCCAGCTTCACCCCAGCTTATCAAGTTCTAGTTTTCTCCCGTTTCAGCCACATCCTATGAATTTACAGACTATATTTCACTCATTCAGTCCTTTATTCATGTGTTCATCTACTGATTCTCATTTCCTGAGTGTGCTCTCTGTACCTACTGCATGGGATAGAAAGCTAAACAGGCCTAGAACTCCACTGTGGGACACTCAGAGCCTAAGCTGTGGCCCCCAGCCCTTCCACCCTAGAGGCCACACCTGCATCTTGTCTTCTAACAGACAACAGAGGAACAAATGCAGGAAGGAGACACAGCAGAGCCTCAGCCTCCAACACCCTCCCTGCCTGGACACCCCACTGCCAGCCCCACTTCCAGTAAGGTCCAGCAGGTGCTGAGCCCTGCCTCCCCTGAGCCTCCCCGAACAGCCAGTCCTCCTGGAGTCGCACCCGTCCTGCTGGAGAAGAAAAGTCCCTTGGGCCAGAGCCCACCCACAGTGGTAGGACAACCTTCAGCTCAGCCATCAACAGAAGAATATGGCTACATCGTCACTGACCAGAAGTAAGCTCCTCAATCTAGAGAAGCCTTCTAGTCCTATAGAGGTTGGGCTGGCCTGTCTGGCAGGACACAAAGAACAGGGATCTAGCAGTGAAAAAAAGAAGGGGTGGGTAGTTCTGCAGCCCTGGAGGAGGCCCGTTTCAGGAAAGTACCTGAAAATCTCTGCTTCCCTTCCTCTGCCTGCTCCCTCACTGCAGACCCTTGAGTCTAGTGGCTGGAGTGAAACTGCTGGAGATCCTGGCTGAGCATGTGCACATGTCCTCAGGCAGCTTCATCAACATCAGGTGAGGCTGCCATCTTGGTGGGCAGCATAGGGGTCTAGAAGGCAGCCTGAGCGAGGTGGTGCTGGGGGGACTCTGGAGGAAGAGAAGACAAACTCTGGGGTCAGAGATGCTCCCAGCTGTACTGAGGGGACAGCCATACCTGTCCTCTGGCTAGCCCACATCTGCCCATCATTAGAACCCCATGGGCATCCCTGATCCTCAGAGCTGGCCTCTTTTTTAGAGTCTGAAGTTTCGTGGGTAAGGTAGTAACATATCTCCTATTTGGCAGTGTGGTGGGACCAGCCCTCACCTTCCGAATTCGCCACAATGAACAGAACCTGTCTTTGGCAGATGTGACCCAGCAAGCTGGTAAATACCATTCCAATCTCAAGCCCAGGATGAGACTGGCCCCAGCCCTGATATCCAGGTCTATGCCAATGGTCCCTTGAAATATTCCCAACCATCATGGCCTTTTCCCACCACCTGACATAGCATGGGATGGAAACCACATGGGGCTGGAGAGAGCCTGATCTGCACCCTCTCTGCAGGGTTGGTGAAGTCTGAACTGGAAGCACAGACAGGACTTCAGATCTTGCAGACAGGAGTAGGACAGGTAGGTGCTAACTGGAGAATCTGTCAAAGCCCCAGAAGTCTGGCACTGCACATAAGAGATGAAGGCAAAGGACTGGAGAACTCAAGAGTTGAAATTAATTCCATTAATCTGGTTGGCTAGTCTCCTTCTCCAGTTCCTCCCTGTGCAGCTCTCTTTTTGACCAGAAGATGGCGGAGTGGCTCTTCCTTGCAAGAGCATCCCTTTCTAGGAAGGCCAGTCCTTGCAGTACCAGCTGAGATACTTTTGACTTCCTGGAGCAAAATCTGTGAATTCCAGTGAAAACCTTGCACAAAACAGACATTATGCTTAAAATATGTTTCTATTATGCATCTATCACTGATGTGCCACATGCTAATATCCTGTTCCATTCTTCCCTTTCCCCCCTCCCTCTCTTTCTCCCTCTCTCTCTCCCTCCCTCCCTCCCTCCCTCTCTTTTGAGATAGGGTCTCCCTGTAGCCCCAGCTGGCCTGGAACTTATGCAGACCAGGCTGGCCTTGATCTCACAGAGATCCTCCTGCCTCTGCCTCCCGGGTGCTGGGACTAGCATGTGCCACCACACCTGGCTCCTGTTCCATTCCTGATGATGGCTATACCATCATTTTCCTGCTGACTTCTCTCTCTGTGGAGTCATCTAAAGCCTCTGGCACTTGAATTTTTTGGGTGGGGATTGAGAAAGAAGCTGTGTACCCTTCTGCCTGTTACCTCCGTACCCCCCTGCCTTCATGGCTTTATGTCAGGTGTCCTAGTAAGAGTCAGGGTTCAGGGCAGGAGTGAGGAACAACACCTCAGTCTCCCCTGCCACCACTCCCTGATTCTGACCTTGTTCCCACAGAGGGAGGAAGCAGCTGCAGTCCTTCCCCGGCCGGCCCATGGCATCTCTCCCATGCGCTCAGTTCTGCTTACTCTGGTGGCCCTGGCAGGTGTAGCTGGGCTGCTAGTGGCTTTGGCAGTGGCTCTGTGTATGCGCCACCATGCACGGCAGCAGGACAAGGAGCGCCTGGCAGCACTGGGGCCTGAGGGGGCCCATGGTGACACCACTTTTGAGTACCAGGTGTGTAAGTACAGAGGCTTGTGGAAGGAAGGAAATGCATAGGGCTTGAGAGACTGAGTCTTAAATGGAAGAAGGGTGGGAGCAGAATAGGGAGGGAGCTACTGTCCTGTCTGGGTGGAAGCTGGAGAGCAAGGTTGTTGTGGGGCACTTTTTTGTTATTGTTTTTGATGCTCAAAACAGAACTATGAGTTTTAATTTGTATTTGAAACTATGACAAAAATTTTAGTCTTTCTGGAATTAATTGAATGACTAAGACAGTCTCCTCTCTTCTGGAAGATCTGTATTCATCTCAATGAGAAAGTAAAGCTTTGGTCTCCTGCCCCTTTCTATCAACTCTCTCTTCTTCTGACCCTTTCCTTGCTGTCTTAGCCTCCTTCAGTTTCTTTGTTTCTTCAAACCCTTCAACATTCTGTTGACTTTCCTTTGTAAAGGGTTGAACCATTTGCTCCTTTGGCAAAGGGAGGAGCAATAAATAGGCAGCAATCCCAGGATTATCGTGCTGAGTGAAACAAACCCAGATATGCGGAGCATCTGTGTAGGCTTTGTTGGAAAGAAAAAGTTCAACAGAATTTCCTAATTGGAAGTATCTTCCAGATCTTCACTGTTCCATGAGAATTTAAGACTTGTCAACAGAGAATCTCACGGGTCTCAATGTGGGACACTTTTGAATGGCTAGAAATTGGGAATGACTGGTTCTTGAGATTCCTCCCAATGATATGATTTTGGGGTGCTGGGATTCTACTCTGTGATCTCTAAGGTTGTTATAAGCACTGTTCAAGCAGGAAAAAAGAAGGCTAAACAAAGACCTTATTCAGAGAAGATGGGTTTCATTCAAGCTTAATCAAGGACAAGCCTAGAGGCCCAGACTTTAATCCATTGCCCTGTTTGTTTGTGTGTGTACTAGAGATTGAACCCCAGGCCTCATGCATGCTGTATAAGCACTCTATCACTGAGCTATATTTCCAGCACTGTGGTCTTTCTGAAAGGCTCTAAGGAACTTTGGGTCCCACCTGATCCTTCCTCTACAGGACCTGTGTCGCCAGCACATGGCCACAAAGTCCCTGTTCAACCGGTCAGAGGGTCAGCCAGAACCTTCTCGGGTGAGCAGCGTGTCCTCCCAATTCAGTGATGCTGCCCAGGCCAGCCCCAGCTCCCACAGCAGCACACCATCTTGGTGTGAGGAACCTGCCCAGGCCAACATGGACATCTCCACGGGACACATGATTCTGGTCAGGAAAGGGTCCAGGCCCATTGTTGGGAGGGAACAGGATGGCAGGAGAGGCAGGACGGGTAGTGTGGGCCAGAGCCAGGCTACGGTGCCCCTACAGGCATACATGGAGGACCATCTGCGGAACCGGGACCGTCTGGCCAAGGAGTGGCAGGCCCTGTGTGCCTACCAAGCAGAGCCAAACACCTGTGCCACCGCTCAGGGTGAGGGCAACATTAAGAAGAATCGCCATCCGGACTTCCTGCCCTGTAAGTGAGCAGCAGTGTCAGCCTCTGCTAGGAACAATTCGAGGCTGTGGGGAAGGGGCTAGGCTCCTGGTTCAGGCTGAGTGGCAGAGGCCTGGTGCCAGAAGGCCGTTTGGGGGTCTGTGCAGATGATCATGCCCGAATCAAGCTGAAGGTGGAGAGCAGCCCTTCCCGGAGTGATTACATCAACGCCAGCCCCATTGTGAGTAGCTCTGGCTCTAGCCCCTACCTTACTCCATCTGTACTGCCCCTCTTCACTCCGTTCCCTGTGATCACTCCCAACTTCAACCAAGCCCCTAAAATTGTGGAATCTGTATCCTGACATTGAACTATAGGCTTCACAGCCTACCCAAGACCTTGACCCACTCCTGACCAAGCCTCTTTGTGGTGCTTCCCATCTTGGCTGACGATGTACCCTTCCTGCCTCTAGATTGAACATGACCCTCGGATGCCGGCCTACATAGCCACACAGGGACCTCTGTCTCATACCATCTCGGACTTCTGGCAGGTGCACTCTGGGAGGGGGCTTTTCTAGGGATTAGAGGCCCTTGGGGCCAAGAAGGGCCAACCAGGACCAGGGAGGCTGGAGGGCAGTTTACCTGCATATCTATTCCTAGATGGTGTGGGAGAGTGGCTGCACTGTCATCGTCATGCTGACCCCGTTGGTGGAGGATGGTGTCAAGCAGTGTGACCGCTACTGGCCAGATGAGGGATCCTCCCTTTACCACATATATGAGGTCAGCAAGACCCCACAGTAAGGGCATAGTAGGAATAGGGGAGGTGGATGGTGGCCTAGTCTCTCACATATGAATGTATGTGCGTATAGATGCATATATACGAACATGTTTCTGTGTCCTGTCTACATCAAAAGGGATCAAATTTGTAGGGACTTTGACAAAATTAAGATCAATGAGTATGAGGTTGGGAAAATAAATATATCCAAAGACTGAGATTAAGACTCCCTTTAACTGAGTCTAGCATAGCTGTGAGTTTCCTGGTGACCAAAGCAAGAAAGAAACACCCTCAGTGGCAGGTTGCTTATGTGAGATAGAAACAGATTTGTTCATTAGGATAGAAGATAGGTAGGGGGTGGGCTGAGGAAAAGCAGGAAGAAAGAAGAAAGAAAAAAACATTTCATACAAATGGACAGTGTCCCCCTTAAGACAAAAGAGCCTAAGAACATAGAGTGGAGCTGGAGAGATGGCTCAGTGGTTAAGAGCACTGGCTGCTCTTGCTGAGGATGGAGGTTTGGCACCCACATGGCAACTGACTCCTTAACTCCAGTTCCAGGGGATCCAATGCTGTGTTCTGACTTCTGAGGGCATTTCATGACACGGGTGTACTTACATACGGTCAATATACTCATGCACATAAAACAAAAATAAAATAAAGAACATATAGTTGAATTGCAGAGTTGGCTCAGAAAAAGTGCACAAGCAAGAGAGCCTGAGTTTGGATTCCTCACGACCATGTAAAACCTGGTGGTGATTGCCCACTGTCTACATGCAACCCTAGCTCTGTGGGAACAGAGATAAGCACATCCCAGGACCTTGTTGGTCAGCCAGTTTAGCCAAGCCAGTCTTTGAGCTCTGGCTTCAGTGAAAAACCCAGTCTCAAAAGATAAAGTGGAGACCCACAGAGGGAGACACCTCAGGTTAGCCTACACGCAGGCTTGCAGGCACACAAACATAAAGTTCCTCATTGCCAGATGAGCCTGGATAGTCTTTTCCACTACTAAATAAGCACTCGATAGTCTTTTTTAAAAAGCATTTTATTGGTCCTGGCTTGCATAAAGAAAAAGCTCAGATATATTATGGAATTTCATCAAATTTTATCATAAAGCTGACACTTCTGAGGAAGAAGAAACTCTCATCTCAAGAAGCCCGTAGTGATAGTTGTGGCTAGATGAGAATGCTACCAGCTATCCCGAGCTGTGAAGTGACGTAGGCAGCCAGGATTCTTGGGGACCTGATTGATGAGGGCCATTGAGTACACTTTCTGGAGGATTTAGCATTTGAACTGCCTGGAAAGCGGGAGGGTTGGGAGAGCCGAAGAGGCAGCAAGGAGCGTGTGCGCAGACCCAGAGGCTGCGCTCAGGCCCAGGCCGGTCCTCGATAGGTGAACCTGGTATCCGAACACATCTGGTGCGAGGACTTCCTGGTGCGGAGCTTCTACCTGAAGAATGTGCAGACCCAGGAGACGCGCACGCTCACTCAGTTCCACTTCCTCAGCTGGCCAGCAGAGGGCACTCCGGCCTCCACCCGGCCGCTGCTGGACTTCCGCAGGTGAGGGGGGTGGGGCGCAGCACTCCTCCTGGGGCCCCAGGTCTGACCTGGAGCCTCGCCCTTGACCTCTGTCCCTTCCACCAGCCTGTCTCCCCCAAATCAGGACTGATGCTCCGGCCTAGCCACCCTAGCCTGCTGCCCTAGTCACTGCTGTTCTGAAGTCTCCCTCTTTCTCCCAGCGCCTCTCCACATCTGGTTCCTTTGCCTAGAGAGGGGGTGCCTCCGCTCTAGCGCCCCTTCTCCTCCCTCCGCTGGGCCCTGCTTTGATTTCATCCTTCCTGTCTCTGCCCGGCTTTCCTGGCCCCCAGCCCTCTCTTGTGTCTCGCCTCCCATCTGCCTAACTTCTTTCCTCCTTCCGGTCTTTTTGCCGCTATTTTTATTCCTCTTTCACTCATGTTCTTCCTTTTTCTTCTCTCTACCTGTCGCTCTTCGCTTCAATCTATCTTCATTTTTCTCTGCACCTCCCCTTTCTGTCTCTCCCCCTCTCCTCCCTCTTTCCCTCCCTTCTTTCCTCCTTCCTACTTGCCCAGCCACCCACCCTCGCAGCTACCAGCATCATTTTTGTGATCTGCAGCAAATATTTGACTCCAGTTGCATAGTCACCAAAGTGGTCACCAGCAGGTGTGGCAGTCGCATGAACAGAACAGAGGCAGATGTGCCAGGCTTGGGAAGGGACAGCCCGAAGGCTGAGTGGAGAATTGGAGAAGGGACTCAGATTGTCATAGGGGAGGTTTGTGGGACAGGGAGGGGCTGAGGCAGAAGCTAACAGAGGGACTTGGCTATTAGAACACCAAGACCAGGCCAGATGCCTAGTGTCCCCTGCATTTTCCCCACAGAGAGGTAGCTAAGAAGCCCTGCCTCTAGAACAAGGGCTCCATCACACCAAAACCTTCTGCTCTTCTGTCCTGTGCAAAACTGGCCTTTAGTGCCAAGCAGAGGTGCAGAGTTGGGAAGGGGACTGGGTAGTTCCTGAACCCCAGAACATTGATTTCCGACTGGGTCCCTGTAGCCTGAAGCACATCTTGAAAGCACTATCAGGGTATTGAACTATTTCCTTTTTTCCACATTTAAAAAATTCTAGCCAAGTGAGGTGGCACACACCTCACTTAATATAATAATTATTATATCTGTAATCTCAGATACTCAGGAGGCTGAGGCTGGAGGACTGCAAGTTCAAGGCCAGTTTTGGGCAACTTAATGAGACCCTGCCTCACATAAATTAAAGAATGAAAATGAGCTGGGAGTGTAACTCAGTGGTGGAGCACTTGCCTAGCAAGCGCAAGGCCCTGAGTTCAATCCTGGTTACTGAATAATAATGATAATGATATTTTAAAATTTTACTGGGCTGAAGGTATAATTCAATGATAATGATAGAGCATAGGTTTAACCCCTGCACTGCAAAAAAAAAAAAAAAAAAAAAAAAAAAAAAAAAAAAAAAGCAAATAGCAAAGGTCCTGATAGAGCCACTGTATAGATCTGCTTTAAGGCTAAACATCCCCTGTGACACTTAGGTCAGAATGACATAAATTCAATTGTTATATGATACCTAGAATAAATTTATTATTGCCTAATAAATGCATTTTGGTGAGGGTCCACCAGAGGGAAGGCAGATTAGTAAAAGAGGGCTCAGCAAGAGGCTGGAGCAAATCTCTTAGCAGTCCCTTTGTTCCCTTCCCTGTGAAATGAGCGTGCTGCCACAGGATGCAAAAGAACAAAGGATGCCAAATCTAGCTAAATGCTGGGCATGGCAAGGGCTGAGTTGACTCTGCAAGCTGGTTATTGTCACCATTCTAAGGTGATAGGAATGGTGAGGACCACCATCCAACTCCAGCCTTCTGATGCACCCACCAATGTGCATGACAACCATGCTTATGCCCATAAAACCACTCAAAGGATTGAAGAGCTGGCTCTGTGGGTAGGAGTGCTTTGCTGTACAAGAATGAAGAACTCCCCTGGATACCTCATGCCCCACCAAAAAATCTGGGTATGGCAGCAAGCATGCCTATAACCCCAGCTCTGTGGGTGGGCAGAGGCAGGAGGGTGGCTGTGGCTTGCTGACTGCCAGCCTAGCTCCAGAGAACCTGTCTCAAGAGAATAAGGCAGAGAAAAAAAAATGACAGAGCAGGACACTCAAATCCTCCTCTGGCTTCCACACTCAAGTGTATGGGCACATGTTCCCCCCTCCCCCCATACACACACAAATGTACACACACACACACACACACACACACACACACACACACACACACATCCATTTAAGTTACCTGGCTCCTTAGCTGGAGGACCTCTAACTCCCAAGCTTCCCTGAAACAATCTGCCAACCCTTAAGAAGGTCCCCTCTAGTCTTCATACAGAGGGGATACCAGGTGCCTATAGGTGGCACTCAAAGCAGGAAACTCATAAGGGACAATGGAAGGTTAGACAGGACAACAGATGGAGACACTCCCTGTTCCTTGCTGAACTGTAGAGAGACAAGGTCTGAGGTCCAAGTGGATCCTAAGTCTCACCACAACCTAGTCACAGAATACCTGGCTTGGGTGAGGCTGATCCTCATGACAAGCAGCCATGTTCAGAGTAGAGAGGTTGTCCTCCCCTGGCCAGAGGAATGCTGTGCCCAGAGTGACCTGACGTCAGGGTTAGTGGACCACTAGGAGCCTGATGGAAAGGGAATGGCTTTAGTGGCTGTGGAGGAGCAGAGCCAACTAGAAAGCCTACCTCCAACAGAGCTACTTGTTGATATCATCCTGTATTATCATTATTATCAACTATCATTTATTGAGTACCTATGGTTTGCAGGTTCTTTAATGTGGATTATCTCATATCACTGGACAAGAACCCTAAAAAACAAGGTTACTATTATTGTCATCTGTTTTATAGATAAGAAAACTCTGAGGCTCTAAGACATGAAATCAGTTATTCCAGGTTCATAGCTTGGGTACATAACTCCTAAGTGACAAAGCAAGCTCAGATTCATCCACACTGGCTCTGGTGCTTTGTCTCTGGTCCTGATTCCTTTCTTTAACACTCTTCCCCCTCTTCCATGACTGTAAGTGGGAAAAAGAAGAAAGCCAAGCCAATGGCTGTGTGCTCGGCTCTGGTGTCTCTTTCTCCACTGGTGACTCTTAGCCCTCACACCCACTTCTCATTGTAGGAAGGTGAACAAGTGCTACCGCGGCCGCTCCTGCCCCATCATAGTGCACTGCAGGTGAGTGGCAACTAAAGGGTCAGAGACCTTGGGCTGGGACCTTCCTGATTCCCCCTTCTGGTCCTATTTCTTGTGCACAAATCTTGAGCACACTGCCTGTTTTTCTCTTCATGTTGGTGAACAGCAGCCATAGTCCAGATCTGGTATACCTTGTCTTTAATAGTCCATGTATTAAGAACAGCCAATGGAAGAGTCCAGAGGAATGTGTGCCCACAGAGTTAGAAATGTTTGCTCTTTGGCCCTTTCTCTAAAGGGCTGGCTGAACTGGCCCTTTCTATAGAGAGAAGCCTGCCCCCAAGCTGGAGAGGGTCAGTTCCATTCCATCCTGCTGCCTCCACTGAAGGCTGAAATATGGCTATCCTTTCCAGTGGTCCCCATGCCTATGGACACACCAGGACTCACAGGCCTGTCACTTGAGGTCTCCATCCTCTCACACCCTCCCCAGGCCAACCCTGATGATCAGTCAATGGCCCCACCCCAACCTCTGTGTCACTCTTCACCTAGTCAGGGCTAAGGTTGTCACCAACTTCTGTTTCAGTGATGGTGCGGGAAGGACAGGCACCTACATACTTATTGACATGGTCCTGAATCGCATGGCAAAAGGTAAGGGCTATGCCCACGGGACCCACAGTCCTGGTTCCCTCATGCCTCCCTAGCACCCAGGGGCCTGGGAGTTCACTGGGGAGCAGTGGTCACACCTCCAGGCTTTGCCTATCCTCTGAGCAACCCACCCGAGGATGCTCAGGCTTTCTGGGGCCTGTCCTCTCTTGGACACCCCTGATCAGCCCCTTTCCCACCCTATCCTCAGGAGTGAAGGAGATCGATATTGCTGCCACCCTGGAACATGTCCGTGACCAGCGACCTGGCCTCGTCCGCTCTAAGGTGACCATGCTTCCCTGCCTGGCCCTAGCAGCTTCCCTTCCCAAGCACTCACTTCTTGGTCACCCTAATGAGACCAATAGCAGCCTGCCCCCTTCCGCCTCCCCCAGAGGAATTCCCCTCCTTCTAGCTGCCCATCACCCTCCACCCCTGCAAGATCCCATGGGCGGGAACAGAGGCCAGGCTTTTCCTAACTCTTCCTACCACTGGTCTTGCACAGGACCAGTTTGAATTTGCACTGACAGCTGTGGCAGAGGAGGTGAATGCCATTCTCAAGGCCCTGCCTCAGTGAGCAACCCCCCCAAGCCCCTCAGTGGGCAGCCTGGCCTCTACTCCCTCTACCTGCATCAGCATCTGTCTGTACACCCATTCTTCACCCACCTGCCACCTCGCCCATCTGGGGCATGCCAGCCCTTTCCCAACCCAGTGTGGAAGGAAGGAAGGGTGAACAGAAGGGGCAGGTCTGCCCAGCCTCATGCATGCCAGAACCAGGGAAGCTCATGGGAAGCTGGCAGCAGGCACGAGGAGTGGACACCAGGAGCAAATGTGCTCGGCCTCATCCTACCTAAGTCCCTGGCCCCCTTTCCTATGGTACTGGATGCTTCCAGCCAGTCCACGTATCCCCCCAGCCTGTGGTGTGTGGACAGAGCAGAATGAGAAGGCCCCAACTTCCTCAGCCCTACCACTGGCCTGCTACCTTGACCCTGCTCAGCCACTCTCCTTCTAGCATAAGAGAACATTTCTAGAAAGATCTACTTTTGTATCAGTGTGAATAAAGTTAGTGTGTTGTCTGTGCAGCTGCAACTCAGACGCCTATGCAGTTCTCTTTGCTCAGGTTCCAGACTCCAGCTGCAGCCTGGGTCTGAGCTAGCCCAGCCTGTCTTCTCTGGGAGACACTGAGCACAGGGAGACACTGAGCTGCAGAAGCTGGCTCGCATTGGTTTTAGTAGTGCCTAACAACGTGGTTTCTAGGTGGCTGATAGGCTCCAAGGTGCCATGCACACATTAGCTTTATCTTTATAAAACCATGACCAATGACTCACCCCATTGTACAAAGAGAGTGCAGTATGGCCCTGGTCCAGGCTATATGACTTGTAAGTGTTGTAGTCAGAATTCGAACCTGAAAAGCTAGGCCTTCTTCCAACCTTTCCTATCAGTTCATAGGCTGTTTCTTCATGCCCTTCAGCCTCAGAAATGACATGTCATACAAGACTGAGGTTAGGGCTGTGGAGGCGATCCACCCAGTACCTGCCATACCTCAGGTGATACCACAGCCAGCACTGCCAGGAGGTGCCAGGGCAGGCCTCCACCTGCAGGAGAGGTGTGCCTTCTCCCTTTCGTTCTGCCCATTTCAGAGCTCAGAGCCCTCCACCCTTATGGTGATCCAGGTGCTCCTCCTCTCAGAAGTCCTCCCCTGTGTGTCATGAGGAGTCTTCAGACCAATGATAGACAGATAAATGAAGCAAGATGAGCCCAGGGCTTGGGGCCACTTGCCCATGTTGAAGTTCAAGTGAAAAAGCAGGGTGAATACCATCTGCTGTGGGTGGAGAACAAAGGGTCTTCCTATCTGTGCTCTGCTGACGCTCAGCTCCATTTGTTCCACATCTCAAAGCTGGCAGTGGGCAAACCACCATTTTGTAAGCTTCAGCAGGTGATCAGGATGGAAGCTCGGAATTCTTTCAGCACAGGCTGCTGCTTTTGCTTTGAGAAAAACACTAGGCTTTTTGACTACTGGAGGTGAAGCTAAGAGTGATTCCTGGGGTGGGGAAGCTGGACATGCAGGACAACATGAAGGTGCTGGTCCTACGGGTGTAAACAATAGAGGGGACCTGGTCCCTGGGCAGGGTACCATTCCACATGCCCCTGGTTCATACTTCTGGCTGTGAGTCAAGGAGAGCTGTAAGGGCTTTAGCCTAGGACCCTTTGGTGCTGCTTAAGTTTTACATGCCTTCATCTCTCTGTGAGTCTCCATACTTTCAATCAAGTCCTAACTTCTGTGCTGCAGAGGATTGGGAAGTAAATCCCTTTACAAGAGGGGCCTTCTGGGCTGGAGAGATGGCTCAGTGGTTAAGAACACTGGTTGTTCTTACAGAAGACCTGGGTTCAAATCCCAGCACCCACAAGGCAGCTAACAACTGTCCGTAACTCCAGTCTCAGGGGATCCAACAGCCTCTTCTGACCAATGCGGGCATTGCACAACACGGATGCACTTACCTACATGCAAGCAATACATGCATACACATAAAAATAACAAATAAAATTTAAAAAAAAAGAGGGACCTTCTAGGGAAAGCTGGTTGAGGACCCCCTAAGAGGTGAGTGAGGGTCAAAAATTTAAGTACTTCTTAGGGTCTTACAACAAATTCAGGGAGGGGAACCTGGTCAAAAAGTAAACTTCTGCTGCCTATTAGCAAGATTTGTGCCTCCAGTTATTTGGTGTAAGAGAAGGTATGAGGCCTAAAGTGTCATCCAGTGGTCCCAGAGGGTCCCTCTCGGGCCACCTTGGAAAGGAGGAACACAGAGCACCAAGCTCTCAAAACTCAGCTTTATTGACTTCCAGTTTCCCTCAGTCTGAGCTCAGCTCATCTGGCTTTAGTAGGTCTCTGAGGCTCAATGTTCCAGAAGCTGGCCACAGCCTGTTCCACCAGACCTCTCCCTGGCCTTGGGCTCCCCAGGCAGGGAGGAGGAGAGGTGGCTCATGGAGGATGATGGAGAGAAAGAATGGGGAGCAGGGTCAGAGGCCAAAGAAAGCCATTCAAGCAACAGCATGTCCACACTCCCATTGCATGCCAATACCAGCCACACACACGCCAGCCAAGGCAACCTTCTCTTCCAAGATTTGCCAGCCCACAGCCATCAGCCTTCCAGTACCACACCCTGCATATTCAGTTCACTGCCCCACTGGCTTGTTCTTTGGACCCCAGACTGCCCACAGGAAAGTTACCTCTCCCAGATGCTACAGGACTCTGGTCTGCCCACCCCAACCTGGGGCTAGCAAGAAGTGTCAGGGGAACTGAAGCTCTTGTATTTCCCCCTTCATCCACAATTCTCACCACCCCTGCCAGAGACAAGTTGAAAGACAAGATCTCTCCATCTAGAGAGAGAGAGGCTGGCCAGGGCTGGAACTACATATCCCAAGAAGCACAGCTCTATAACCAAGCACCACTTCCCGTGGGATAAGGCTAGCAGAAATGAGGTCAGGTGCATTGCATTCTGGGACTTGTAGTCCACAGGCGCCAGCACTAAAAACTCGGAAAAGAGTTTAGAGGTTACGACTATGGATGCCTCCCATTCAGCGCCCACCTGCCACCCAGACCCCAGCTCTATACTGAGCTTAGGTGAGGGAGAGGAATGTAGTGTTCCCTCCCAGCACATGGGGGGAGGGCGCTGTCCTGTTGGAGCTGTGCAGCAACTCTGGATCCAGGATATCCAGCTCAGAACACATCTGGGGAGAGAGCAGGGGTGGGTGACAGGAGAGAGGGTCAGCAGCAAGCAGGTAGAGGATGGAGCCAAGCATGTGCACCTAGGCTGGACTTGTGGCTGTTCCCTGAGCCCTGATACATGGTGGGCAAGTGGTACAGACACAGTCCCCACTAAGCCTCCCACTGGGTCTCCCTGGCCCTATCCCACCTCTCCAGGGATAGCCAGCCTCACCTCTGCCTAGTCTCATGGCCAGGGCAGGCTGAGGCAGCAAGAAGGGAAGAGGAGTGGACTCCAGTTGCGACTCTGGAGGGCTGAGAGGCTCCCGCCCCACCCAGCTAGCCTCTCGAGAAGACCTCATGGCCCCACGGGCCCCAGCATCTTCCTGGGCACACAGAGGCTTTTCAGAGAAGGGAGAAGAGAGTTCTAGCCAAGCAGCAGTGAAAGCAAGCGATGCGGCCCGCACGGAGTTGCAGAGAGCAGAGTGGGAGGAAAAGCAGCACCAGAAGGGAAGGAGAGATGGGCGGGTGAGAGCTCAACTCTGCACAGAAATCAGGGGTCTGCAGCTGGGTAGGGACAGCAGAGACTCCACTCAGCCTGCACTATTCTCCAGGTGAGCTGCCCATGCAGGCTCAGAGCATGCCAGGCCAAGTCCTCCTTCCTAATAGCATCAGCAACACAGGTGGCAGAAGACCTAGGCACAAAAGGCCCAACCCATACCACTAATGTCTCTCAGCAATGCCCAATCCAACCAGTGCCTCTGGGCTCCTCAGGCCATTCCACAACCCTAATGCCCCCAATCCTGGGCTTCACCCAGAAACCTATCAGCCCTGGAGAGAACACAACAAATCCCAGGTCCACACTAGAGGATGGTGGCTCTGGGAGGGAAACTTGTGGAGGGACAGAGAGTTTGGGCTCCTGCAACTCAGGCCACATTCCACTCTGCATTCCTGACAGTGTGCAGGACCTGGAGTCAGGACCTGAATTCAGGTCAGGTAGGACCTGGTGTTCAGAGGATGAGGCAGCGAGAAGCCTTCTCCTCTGGGGACGGGCTGGGTTTGGCTGCCTCGCCCCTTGCCCCCTTATGGGTGCCCCCCACGTCAGGATCTTGGTGCTGGGCCTTGGGCCGCCCCTGCCGTCGTTGCTGCACCCCCCGCCCACCTGCTGGCTTCTGCCCAGCTGCTTCCATCTCTGACAAGCTGTAGGCCATGGCAAGCTGCAGGTCCTCATCCTCAGAGAGGTCGCTGTCAGAGGGACGGGAGACAGGGGCCTGCCGGACCTGTGTGTCCCCCAACCTGGAGGTGACTGAAGGTTGCTGTTCACGACGGCTCAGCTCCAAGCCCAGTGCCAGGTCATCTGGAACACCTGCAAGAGTCACAGCTATCATGAGGCCCAAAGCCAAGCCATCATGCCAGGCTACCTCACACAGTAATAACCCTGACCATTTACAGCCTCTCTGAAATTGCACTTGTGTTAGGCCCCTAGTGAGTGGTTACAAGCATGGAAAGATACTCATCTTCTCAGTTGTGGCTGTATTTCCTTGGACACAGTACTCAAACCCCCACCCCATGCCTCCTTTCCCTTGTCTATGAAATACGAATGAAGAGGGTGCACACATAAGCCAATTTTCGCAATGATTAAATATGACAACCCATGTAAAGTACTTGGCATAGTGCTCAGTGCTGGCAGGTAAGTGATTAGCCAAAGGGCAATCCTGGGAGGTGTGGTACTCTGGAAAGAGCTCTGCTCCAGGAATCCTGCATCCTGAATTTGAGCCTTGGCTGGGACTATAACTCAGTGGTGCAGTGCTTGCTTAGCACGCACACGCACACATACATGCACACAGCTCTAGGTCTATAATCTAGCACCAATACACATACACACCAGAGTTTGATTCCTGGGTTACTTGGCCTCTTTTGTATGGTAGGAAGGAGTCTTGAACCAGAGGCTACTTGGAAGTCAGGATCATTTAAATATGCTTCAACTCAATCTTCTCAAATAAAAATTGGGTAAATACAATCTGCACTGCTTCTACCCATGCCACAATAAGAACACAGAAGGACTAGGGAAATTGCTCAGTGGGTAAAGTGCTTGCTGTGCAAGCTTGAGGACCTGAGTTCAAATCCTCAGCACCCATGTAAAAGCTGGGTGTGACAGTATATGACTGTAATCCCAATGCTGGGTGGCAGAGATAGAAGGATCCCTGGGGCTTGCTGACCAGCTACTCTAGCTGAATCTGTGAGCTCTAGGTTCAGTGAGAGACCCTGACTCAAAAAATAAAGTGAGGGGGGACAAAAAGGACACAAAGTTGGGAAAGGAACATGGGGGGGTCCTGAGAGGAGCTGGAGGAGGGAATTCAGGGGAGGTAAATGATTAAAA